AGTTCTTGTTGGTCAATTCAGTCATTTTGCCTTTACATTTTTAAAACAGTCTTTTGTTCTTATTTTGCCAATGTTTTCAAATTATCTTTAGATCGTTCTAATTTTTCCTTTTGCCAAAATTTTGTTCCTATTGCTCGATAACTTTACAACATCATCTTTTTTAGGTTAAATCTTCCTCATAACCGATGTCAGTCTTTATATATTTAAAATTATTATTATTATTATTATTATTATTATTAATAATAATAGTAATAAAATGATAATAATAAAAATATTTTAAAAATACACCCCCTAAAAACAAAAGAAGAAACAAGACAAAAGAAAAAAAAATCTAAAGAAAAGAAAGAAATAAAAATTTCGATCAATATATTTCTAGAGGATAACGCTTTTAAGGCAAGCAGTCTTTGTAAGTAAAGTGCTTAAATTAAGAAACTGAACATACATAACAAACAAGTTTAATGAAATATTCAGACATATCTTTCTGACTCCAAAATTGGCAGAAACGTTATCTGCTCCTCAGGGGGTTAGCTACTAAATCATTTAGTATCTAACCACAACACGAGAGGACACCAAATTTGCAACTTGTGGAGAAGAAATGATAATTTTAGCTTGTTTCCTTTATCTGAAATTAAAAAAAACTATCAGTAACTAATATGTATATGTATATAATTTGTCTGTTTTCATTGTATCTTTATTATATATATATATATATATATATATATATATATATATATATATATATATATATATATATATATCGAAAACGAAACTGTAAGTTCGAAACCCAGGTAGTGCGTTACGCGTGAATTTTCCCTAATGTTATATTTACACACACACACACACATATATATGTGTATGTATAAATATTTGTAATATAATAAAAATCTCACAATATCAAATAAGTTCTTTTGAATATTTTCAAATCAAAAAACAGATTTGTATATTTATGATATAAAATAATTATATACTAAAAACTTTAGTTAATAGTTACTTTTATTGTGAAAACATTAACTAGCATTGTAAAATCGGTGGTCGTGTATTGTCTTAAAGCTCATATTTTAGAATAGGCTGGTTCTGTAAAAAACAGGATAAAGTTATGCGTAGTTACCTGTCGTTCGAAAGTTTGGCCTTGTGTATTATTTATTGTTATTGAATGACAGTTTTCCCATCCCAGTCGAATTATTAATTGATTGAAGGCTAGTAAAGTATCTTGTGACAAAATACAGGAAGTATGAGGCATAATTTATGGAGGTTGCTAGGTACGAAACATTAACTCAATCTAACACAAGAGAGTCGTTTATGATAGTTAACTCAATGTGTTTTCGATGAATGGAGGAAAGCATCTCACATAGTGTATATCTGTATATATGCAGCAGGAAGAAAATGTATTAATATATTGATGAGAGCAGTTGAAAGACAGTTATTTAATCACGTATCCGAGTCGGCTGAGATTCACACGTCTCATTGATGATTAGGAAACGCGTTAAAAAAAAAACAAACTTTAATTTATATTTAATAAGAAAACAAATTACGATTTTGCCAGTTCTCTCCCAACTCACCAAACACAAACATGCAAAGAAAAAGTAAATAAAAGCCATAAAAAAAGAAAAGGACATGAAGACTAAAAAAAAAAAATAGAAATCTAAAATATATTAAAAACAAGATGCGAAAAACACGAAAATGGTGGTTTGATATTTTCCCTCAATTTTATGTTTATCAAGTAATATGATAAGAAACTGTGAGTTCGAATCCCAGCATGTCGCGTAAAGCGAAAATATGTGAATTTAATGCAGTATTAAAAGTTTTTATCCTGTTTAAACCGAGAAAGAGAAAGAACACAACAACATTATTGTTGTGGATTCCGGGATGAAATCCGGTACCAATAAATAACAAACTTGAATATAGAAAAATAATGTATTAACGTAATAATACAAACTGGTAATGCAGGTTAGTAGTTCCAGGAATACGGGTTAGTAGCAAAATATCTATATAGTCTTTGGTATTGAAGTATCGCTGTATGACTTCTTACTGAGTCTACGTGCTCGCTAACTGTGACTCTTGCTGGCTACGTTTGTTCTGTCTATCTTGTTAGCTTCACTTTTGGTTGCTCTCGTCTCTCGGATCTTCACATAGAAAAATCCCAAGATTCGAGTTGCAAATTGGAGATATAAACATCAATCAGATGCAGAAGTTCAAAATATCTGGGAAGCATTTTAACAGAGGATGGAAAATGCGACACCGAGATTCGAACATGCATTGGACTAGAGAAAAAAAGAGCATTCCAAAAGTTAATGAAGGTGTTGAGAAACGGAAAACAATCGTTAGAAACAAAGGAATAAGTTTACTCTAGTAGTGAATGTTGGACAATCTCCCCACGGATGAGAAGAAAACTAGAGGCAGTAAAAATGTGGTTTCACAGAAGGATATTGAAAATTCCATGGATGAAGCGAGTAAGCAACGATGAAGTCTAAAATAAAATTAAAACAGAAAGAATATTATACTCAGAATTAGGAAAAGACAACTGAAATTTCCTGGACACATAATGAGGGGATTGGAAGACTTAACCCTCCCGGGGTGTTATTGAAGGCAAGAGATATAAGTGTATTGTATAAATGGATGGCGGAAATGGGACCGGAAGCATTATCAAAGGGAGTAAACCTATTAAGAGCGACAAGGAACAGGAAGTTATGAAGAACAAGGATCAACTTTGTCCTGAAGATACGCAGCACACAAAAATACCTAAATTCCAATGTCGTTTATAGAAAACACGGATCCGTCATCAGCAGATTTGAAGAAGTATATAAGTTATTAATATCAAATTAAAACAGCCGGAACGTCATGAATGTGACAGTGAAGATGAGGACAACAGTTCGTACAATCTAAATAGTGTAAATAGTTACACTACATCATCTCATAATACATACTATACTTTACAATCTCATAAATATAGACAGATCCTGAAGAAGGCCGGAGACGGACAACGACCGAAATGTCGTGGATGTGACAGGAAAAATGAGGGCAACACTCTGAACAATGTAAATAGCGAAGATAGTTAAAATACGTCATCTCAGATATATAGACAGATCCTGAAGAAGGTCGGAGACTGATAACGGCCAAAACGTCGTGAATTTGACAGTAAAAATGAGGGCAACAGTCCGAACAATGTAAATAGCGTAAATAGTTACAACACTCCATCTCATAAATATAGATAGATCCTGAAGAAGGTCGGAGCGGACAACAGCCGAAACGTTGTGAATGTGACAGTAAAGATGAGTGTCAATGACATTGATTCATTGATTTGTTTTATTACGGCTTATCAAACGTTTGCAGATTATTTCAAGCCAGAAAATATTTTTCTAGATTGTAAGAATTTCTTTTTTTTGAGGGTGGGAGGAGATAATAATGATTTATTGACGCAAGTTCTACTAATTAATCCATAGTTGGTGGAGAAGAGGTGGATTCATGCCTGGAGAGCCGAGTTCGAATTCCAGTCGAATCCATTAGATTCACTTACGTACCCTTGGGAAAGGTATGAATCCTCTTCTCTTCCCCCAGCTATGGGGTAATAGAAGGACAGACCGGGTTATAACTGGTCCACTGCAGAAAGAAATGGCAACCTACTGCCATTTAATCATGTATCGAAAGTTACATGATCGCCTAAGCGTGTATCACTGACATTCTTACTCACACACCGATGCCACAAGTCTAGACACCCGTATGACGGGCTTCTTGTACCATAGTTTCGTTCAGCATGGTAGCAGTAATGATGAAATTAGCCGTTTCCATCCAGGAAACATTCACCATTCATTGACCGTACAGTAAGCGGTATTGTCGGAATAAAATGAAATTCTCATGAAATTTGATTCCTCAAGTTCACTAACTGTTAATGCTCTTTCTCGTATTGATGGGAGTTTCTTTCTAAACGTTTTCTTTAGGACAGTGTAGTAATTCGACATCTTGATTATGGAGAAATTCTACATCTTGATTATATCGTTATGTTTAGAGCACAGAAAGCGTTATATTTTCTAAACTGGTGGTTTTGCTGGATAAAAGAGAGATTTTAGCAAAAAAGTGGGAGAGATCTAGTTACCTTATACCACAGTATGTCACATGGTGATAATCAAAGACTACATTGATTTAAAGATGGTGTGAAAAAAATATGGAGAAATAGAGAAGTATGTGAAAATAATTTAAAAATTTTCGCACCTTTTGTATTTTTTGATTAGCTTCCCGTAGCAATTCTTTTTCTTTTAATGCAATAATACTAATTTTTCTATAAAAGAAAACATAGCGTGAAAAAAAAATGTAAAAGGTAATTGAATTTAAACGTGGTAAATAGACAAAGCAACAGAAACTAAGAAAAATAAAATAAAAAAGAACATTTTAATTCATTTTAACCACATTTTTCGTTAAATTCACCTTTATGATCTTTTAATAAATAATAAAAAGATTTTGACTAATAAAACACCTCACCATGCAGCTTACTAGATTTTTGTAAACTTTCAAAACAAGCATAAAAATCCTTAAGTTAATAAAATTTCTAAAAGAAACAAATGATGCAAAAGTGAAAAAAACGAATATAGAAAAAAAAAACTCATCTATTTCTGTTCAAAATTATAAACGAAAAAATATAAACCTTAAAAAAAATAAGCCAACAATTAAAAATTGCTATTGCATTTTAACTATATCATCGGAAAACTTAAATTTTATGAACTAAAGGAAATAAAAGCGAAAAAAGACTGCTTTATAAAATAATCGAAATAAAGCTTAAAAAATATAGAAATCAAGACTACATACTTTGGTGACATGTTAAAAAA